AGTCTCACTCAGCCTTGCTCCAGTCAGACCCCCGGGAGGCCTCTCCACACTCCCTCTTTGGAGCCAGGACCCCAGAGAGCGTAGGACAGGAGTCCTTCTGGCCCTTGAGTTGCTGTTCTGGTTGGGAGCCCACACACGAGTGTGTGAGGGAGACCAAGTGTGTAGGTTGATGGGGTGGTAGACGCAGATCTGGGGTGTGTGGGATGCCGGGTGGGGTGGTGAGCACTGGCCTTGTTGCAGGGCAGAAAGTGTGGATGTGTGTGAGTGGTTCTGAAGTGTGTGTGTTGGGGGGCAGGCGGTTAGTGTGGGTTAGGGGACTGTGCAGAGACTGAGTGTGAGTGCAAGGGGGTGTGAGTGGGGGTGGGGGGACCAAATCCTGTGGGCAACCATTGGCTGAACACCAGCCCTGCACACAGCCCAGGCCAGGCAGAGGGCCAGGGTGTCCTCAAGCGCTGGCAGGGGTGAGGGTGTCCAGGCTGCATGTGTGTATATGTGTTCCTTTCTTTTGCACTTCCTCTCTTTACAAACCTCATAGGGCTGCCACACAACTCAAGAACTCCATCACCCCCAGAACCAGCCCCTTGGGAGGCAGAGGGAGGAAGGAAAATGGGGATCCTCCTTGCCTAGACATGGTTCGCCATCCCCTACCGCAGCGCCCTGCCTGCTAAGCCCCTTTCCCACTTCCTGACCCAGGGTGAGGGGGGTGGTAAGGGGCACTCTGGGGGAAGAGGGGAGAAGACCGTGGCTGGCTGTGGTCTCTGGTCTTCCCAGAAGCAGTCAGGGGCAGTGCTGTGCCTATGCCATGGTAAAGGTGACCCCTGCCAGGTGCCAGCAGCCATAGCACATTCCTGCTCCACGCAGATAGACCGTGGAGCTCCAGAAACTTTCCATCCTACGGCCGTCTCTGATTGGAACAGGGAGTCTGCTCCTCTTCCCCTCCCTGGGGCACTGAGCTAGGACTCCAACCTCAGGGACTTGGGTGGCCTGCATTAACTTCTTTTGATACTAAGAACTATTTTAAGGTGAGGAGGGTGGCAAGGGACATTCTTAATAAACCAATTCTCAGCCACACCTGCTGTTTTCCAGCTCATTTCTGTGAGTAGGATGGGCTGGAGGGAAGAAGAGAGAGCTGGCTGGAAGCAGCAGTGGGGCAGAGGGGTCTCTAGCTAGGAACATGGGAGTTGGGATGGCAGGAACTCGATTCAGGGCAACAGCAGATATGGATTGAGCTCCTGTCCCACTTATCGTGGGGGCTGGAGGAGGGAGCTGGTGCCCGTTTTTCTCCCCTCCCATCTCTGGGTCTTTGTGACTGGATGGTAACTCCACTGGCCACAAGTCCCACTTACATCTGCCTCCCCTTCTGGGTTCCACTAAGCTGCACTACTGTTTATTGGTTCTTAAGCTTTCTGAGCTTCACTTGCAAGGAGGGTACTGCTGAGTGTGGGGACGGAAGGGACCGAGCAGGTGCAGGGCACACAGCAGATGCTGAAAGAGCTCCCTGTGACCCTGGCCTGCCTTAGTTCAGGAAGAATGAGTGAAAAGAAACTGACCTTTCTGGAAGCTTCTGGGGGGAAAAGACCAGGGCCGATGCCTCCCATACCCCCACAGCACGAGACAGAGCCCTTCCCCGGGGAGCCACAGACAGCACCTACATCAACCGACAGAACTTATTTCTTTATTAGACGCACCGCAGACAACGGGGAATCTAGGTGGGTGAGGGCCATTGGCCCTGCGTGCACAGGGGCCTCACATCCCCACCTTCTTCTGGGCCCAGGTGAAGAAGATGCCCTTGACATCATCCACACCCGTCTGAAGGTGGGCAGGCATGGTGTAGGTGCGCAGATCCCGCACCTCATAGCCACTCTGCACCAGGGCCTGCCTCACCTCCTCCTCGCGCATGGGCACCACCGCCAGCCTGGCCTCCCCAGCCAGGTACCATGACTCCTCCAGGGCTCCAATGAGGAGGAGGTGCCCCCCAGGCCTCAGCAGTGTGGTGATGTGGTCCAGGGCCCGCTGGAAGCTGGCCAGGTCCGGACTCACAGCCTCCAGGCAGAAGGCAGAGACCAGGGCATCGGCAGGCAGGGGTGCCAGGCCTCCAGCGCCCAGGGGCTGGGGCCGGTGCACGTCGATGGGCAGGATCCTCTTCACCCTGGCTCGCAGCTGGCGCTCCTTCTCCTGCCAGGATTCCCTGTTTGGGAGACAGAAGGCAGGGTCAGGACCAGGGTTCTGGGTGCCTACACTCAGTTCTCTGTTGCCTCCCACCAGTCACTCCCGGGAAACCCCCTAGCAACCCTCACCCCCCAGCCCTTACCCCTTGCCCTCGATGAGACAGACATGCTGGCTGTACACGCTCCAGTCGAAAGCCCCAGGCTCTTCTCGCAGCCAGAGCCTCAGCTCCTGGCGGTTCACCTCTAGGAAATCTGTCATGGTGATGTCCTCAAAGTGGGCACAGGCGCTGAGCAGCTGGTATATAGTGGGGCCTGAACCGACGTCAATGAGGCTGCGGCCAGACACCTCACCTGGGTGGGCAGAGGAAGCGAGCCCTGGCGCTAGGCCTGCAGCCCCCAGCCTCAGTCACTGCCTCCCTTTCCTGCTTCTTTGCCCCTTCTCTGCTCTTTCTCCTGGTGTTAAGTGGGTCTCTATCTGGAAAAAGCACTAGCTCTGGAGTTAGACAGACCAGGGTCTGAGTCCTGGCTTCAGCATCGGCTGACTTACCTTGGGAAATGAACTTAACCTCTCTGAGACTCAGGTTCCTCAACCATAAACTCTGCCTACCAGTGAGGATTAAGTTGGGAGAAATCTCAGATGCCTGGCAGCGCCTCTCCTCCGCCTGCCCCCAGGGTTCCGCCTGCCCCACCTCTCCTCTCAGTTCTGAGAGTTCTCGGCTCTGAACCCCTCTCCTCGCGTCTCTCCTCTCACGTGAGCGTTCCTGCCCCTCTTCTGTTTTCCCTCTTAATTTGACCTTGGGCTCTCGGTGCTGCCCCTCTGGTTCCCTGATGTCTTGTTTCCGCCGCGCTCACCGGTGGCGAAGGTCTGAGCCAAGCAGCGCAGCTTCCAAGGCCCGACGCCGTCGGGGCAGCTCAGGTCCCCCCTCGGGGGCGCGTAGTTGTTGAGAAGGTAGGAGCGGGGCTCAAAGCGCTGGTAGGCCGAGGCGACCACCGCCAGGCCCGGGTCTGAGTCGGGAACCGCGCCCGCCGCCTGCCTCTGGTTTGTCCCGCTCATGCTGCTGCCGCGGCCGCCCTTGAGCCCCGCTCGCCTTTATCTGCGGCGCGACCCCCCGCTCGCCCGCCCTGGCCCCTCCGGTGCGGGGGCGGCGGCTGAGCGATGAGCTGCCTGGGGCCACGCGCTGCGTCTTCCCTATCCCATCCATCTCCTTTAGTGTCCCTGCAGCAGACACACGGGGGTGGGATGGAGGGGGGCATCCGTCCCCGCCCCTGCTCCACCATTGCTCCCGGCTGCCCTCCACTCTTTGCCTCACCTGCCCTCCAAGACCAGCTCCCACGCCCTGCCCCTCAGCGTCCTACCCCCAGACTCTACAGGCCCCCGCAGCTGCCAGTCCCGGCACCTCCACGTCGCATTCACCCCTTTTGCCTGGCATCCCTTCCCTTCTCTTTTGCCAGGGTTCAAGTTAGCCCTGTCCCCAGTTCCCAGCTCCCAGTGCTCTCCACCAAGGGCCCAGTTCCCCGCCGGGCTCCCCATCTCCGGGACACCCTTTCCAACATCCACCCCCTTTCTTAGCAAGGTCTCCCCAGCTCCCCTCCTCCAGGCCTCTCTTCCGTCCCAGCGTTCTCTAGCGTTCTCAGCCGCGCCCCACCCGCTCCCCACCCTGACTCCAGAAAGGACAGTCCGTTCTGCCCTCCCCACGGTCTCGGTAGACCCCGCCCGTCAGATGGCAGTGACGATAGGGGAGGCGAGTGGGGCTAATGTGCGCAGTGGAGAGAACAGCCCGGCCTTCCCTGCAGGCCCTGTGGGCTTCCGGCCGCTTGTGTCGGGAAGGCTCATGATGTTCCCGTCACATCTAGGGCCAGGGGCCCAGGTGAGGACGGAAGGGCACAGGGTACATTCTCCAGGCTGCCAGGGCTACCAGGGGACGCGAGCCCAGCCTCGGACGCCAAGGGATTAGGTGTGTCGCCTGGTCTGGAGTCTGACCCCTCTCATCTCACAGCCCACACTCCAGCCCGCTCTGGGGGAGCAGGACCAGGCCCGGCCTGCAGACTACTTGGCACTCCAGGTACCAGACTGTCAAGATGCCAGGTTCTCCCCTCCTATCCCCCCAAATAGGAAGTGGATTCTGTGGGGGCCATCTCCATGGTCTTCCTGGAGTAGGACCCCCCTCTGACCAAGTATAGTGCCTCTCCACCCTGGGTAGGCTACCAGCCCCTGCCAAGATGGGGCCCAGGCCTCCTCCGTGCCACCTGCCCCCCACAACTTGTCTAGGAGAAAGTGTCTTCCAGTTGGGCCAGGCAGCCAGTTTGGGGCATGAGTTACTGCAACAGCTGCAGAGGTCAGACAGGAGCCTGACCCCCTACACACACACCCCACTCCCAACAACCCACCCTGGGCTCCCAGGCCAGGGAGGGTGGAACACCTGACCCCAGCCAAGGATTGATTCCGTCTGGATTCAGAACCAAGAGAGGTCAGCCCTGGGATCAGTGACCCCAACCACACCCTGGCACAGCTAAGGACAGTCCTGGTGCCAGCCCCCTCCTTATTCTCCATGAGATCATTTCAACAAACCCTGGATGCCAACTGGCCTCCTGGGCACTGCACAGTGCCAGAGAGCTAGAGGCAGAGGCCAGGGCCCACGGCAGTCAGGGGGACTGGACAGATAGCCGCCCTGTTTACTGCTCTGTCCAGACAGCCCCTCCCCGCAAGCATGGGGCGACCCACTAATTCTGCCATATTTAGCTGAGATGCAGGGCCTGTTCCTAGAAGTGAGCATGGGGGGGGGGGTACACCAATGGGTGGACCCCTCAACCAGAAGAAAAGAGACGAAACTCTGGCATGTGATTGAGCGTTTATTGCAGCACTAACAGAGGGTGCTGGGGGCTCCACCCTGCCTCTGCCCTCGTCACGTCCCCCTCCCTCCAGTCTCCTTCCCAGAGCACTCCAGATCCTCTTACAGTTTTTCTTCATCCTTCTCTGAAGCTGAAATCTGGACTGGGGTCACTCCTCTCAGGGACCTCTTGCCCTCATCAGCTTCTCCTGCCCTTCCTCCTGGGACTGGGGGTACTTGGCTGTGCTGGCCCCCAGCTCTTCACCTTTTGTGCCCATCGTCCGCTCCCCTCCCTCCGGGAACTCAGGAGATCCAGGCCTCCTCCCCTAGCCCCCAACTCTGGGCAAACTACGAAGCATCCGTGGCCAGCAGCTCCCCTCCATGGTCCTAGCTAGGAAGGGCCCAGCCCAGGGCAGGCACAGTGCAGCCCGAGTCACCGTCCCTCTCAGCCTCTCTGTGCCTCCTGAGACATGGAGCGAGACAGGGAGCGACGAAGGGTGCCGGGCTTGCTGACGGGCACCACGGGAGGCAGCTGCTTGGTGATCTCGGCCACGTCCTGGCGGTCCACACACTGGCCTCCCAGGGCGGTTTCCAGGGCCAGCAGCTCCCGCAGCTGGACGGGGGTCTCCTCGCGCTCCTCCTTGGTGGCGCCCACCTTGGCGGGGGTGAAGATGGGCAGGGGCAGCACCCGCTGGTAGGGCAGCTGGTACTCCTGCAGCCCACGGCCGAGGATGCCCATCCGCATCACCAGCCAGGGGGAACGCTGCACCAGCGCCTGGCACTGCCCCTGCCGGTGGTAGGTCTCGTGCCGCTGGGCATCCTCTTCATGCAGGGAGCAACTGGGAAGGAGAGGGACAGGGACACTGAAGCCGAGAACGGCTGCCCGCCACTCACCGGCTGGCCGGCAAGCTCCCTGGGGCTGCCAGGACCTGGGGTGCCGGAGGGGCGACTCCACTCCCCCCAGCAGGCACTCTCCTGGCCCCCACCCCTCAAAACCTCTCCTGGGCTTTGTGGTCTGGCCTCATGAGTCCCAGGAAGGGTGCTCTGAGGGAGAGGATGGGGCCCCCTGACTGGCCAGCACTCACCCCTCCTCAGGCCGTGTGGACAGCGTCAGATCCTTCCACTCAGCCCAGAAGGCCTCTCGGCGCTCACTGTTCTCCTCCGCCAGCAGGCAGCTCAGCTCTGAAGTGGCCATGACGACTGCTCACTCCCTCTGGGCTCTCCCCCTCCCAGGCCCTTTAAATAGCCCCCTCCCCCACACTCAGGGGCTATTTTCAGCCCCTCTGCCGTCAGATGCTATAAGCAGAGCCAAGACTCACTGATGGGGGACTCTGGGCCCAGGGCGGGGCTGGGGGGGTACTGGATTCTGGCTGCCCCCAGGTCAGAGGTCAGCTTCAGAAGAGATCAAGATGCTCCCGTGGGGTGGGGGTCCTCAGAGTGACCCCTCCAGGTGTGAGACACTCCTCAGACACTATCTGTGACCAGGCACATGCCCAGCCTCGTGCCACCTTGGCACTCGCCGTCTGCCCCACCCCTTCCCCTCGCCCAGGGAGGTCAGCGGCTTGTCTGTAAACAGAGCGGGAAACAGTAGGAACCAAGGCCCCTCTGGGCGCTGTACCAGCTCGTCAGGTCCTGTCCCCGCCGCTCTCCTCTGCCTGGGCTCAAGGGCATGTCACACCCCCGACCGTGGCCCTCAAGCAAAAGGGACAGTGCCATGTCCTCAGGCACCTGCCCCCAAAGGCCTGGCTCCCAACTGCCACCACCCCACCGGGCAGGGGCACCAGAAGTTAATTCCACCCCTGGGATCCTGGACACGAGCGAGGGGGGAGGCGGCCCCCGACTCTACCCCACCCCTCAGCTGCGGTGAGATGGGACCCCAGCGGTTCCAGTGGGTGGCAGCCAGTTCTGGCTCCAGCCCTCAAATCAGCCATAAGGAGGCTGTGAGTAGGGGGTGGCATCCACCCACTCTGGGCCTCGTTTTCCTCACTTTCTGTTCACAGTGGCCTTACCAATAGAGCTCTGGGGGCTGCCAGCTCCAAGGTGCCACTGGGCGGGGCCTGGATCTCGTCCTCAGCGAGCAGGCCAGTCCAAGGGCTTGCGGGGACAGCCCCACCCCCAGAGCAGCAGCGCGTGCGACAGGAGGCTGGCACAGAGGGAAGAGGGCGCGGGGGAGGAGGAGGGGGCGTGGCTGAGTGGGCAAAGCAAAGGGCACCCGGAAGGCCAGGGACAGAGGCCATGATGAGAACCAGCAGTCAGGCCCATGGGCACCCTCTTGATTACTGAGCACGACACCTGATTCTTGGTGCCTTTCATCTTGCCACAGCTTTAACGAAGTAGGAAATGGAGGCTCGCGCAGGCAGACTTGCCCGGGGTCACATGCCTAGCTGGGACCAAGAGGCAACACCCCCACCCCTGAGTCTAAGCAAGTTATTCCCTCAGGAAGCCTGCAGGGAGGGAAGGAGGGCTGTTTCCTGGTGGTCCCAAGTGTGACGGGCAGAGAGAGGAGGTGAGCAGAGCCCAGAGGTGCCTCAGTGACCCAGAAGCCCAGGCCTTGCCTCCAGGCTCCTCCCCACCAAACCTTCGGACCCCAGGATCAGCAGAGGCCTACTCTGGGTCCTTCCGGGTCTCCCCGCTACCTCCCGCCTCCCCATCCTGGGCTGGAGACCTTAACCTGACCTTCCTTAGCAGGAGACCTGGCCGGCGGGAGGCAGGGAATTTTTCTCTGACCACTTATCTGCCCAGCTGAACCGGGGTGGGGGGTGGTTCGAGAACTGGGCCCCCCACTGGCTCTATTCTGGCTCTGGGAGGGCAGGAGAGGGTCATGTGTAGGTTGGAGCAGGGTTCCTTCCCCTACGCCCTACGATGTGCTGCCCTTTTTTTTCACTCTCAAGAGGCCAGGCTGCAGGGGCTGGTTTTTTTTTTTTGAGTTCCTGTTTTTAATTGGCTCAAATTACAAAGGTCCCCAAGGAGGTCCTAGGGGTGGGGGTGGAGGGCAGCAACCTGGAGAGAACCTGGGAGAGGCAGGTTCCCCGCCAGTGCCCACCACCCCCACCTGCCACCCACACCCCTACAGGTGGAAGTGCAAGTGGAGAAAGGTCCCAGACCCTTTAAATAATCCTAAAAAACCGTGATGCGAGAGCAGGCAGAAGGGGCTCCCACACCTTCACACTGGTGACAAGCTGCCCTAACTTCAGTCCTGCGCAGGGTCCTCTCCCGCCGAGTCCGTGGCTCCCGTTCCAGACCCTGCCCCAGGCCAGGTAGGGGACAGTGGGTCTGCTCCTCCCAGAGGCAGGAGGCCGTGTGACCGCTGGCAGGAAAGGCCCATTCGGGCGCAGCGGCACAGTCCCCACGCTTGGGCCCTCAGCCGGCTCAGTGTTGGGCGGCAGCTCAGTTCACAGTGCTGCTGGGGAGGAAGCGCCTTCCTCTCCACTGCTGAGGCCAGGTCCTCAGTGGGCAGCGGGAAGCCCAAGCAGTGCCCCCCTCTGGCTCTGGAGGCCGTGGCGACAGGACCCTGGCCCGCAGGGTGGCGAGGAGGCACCCTTATGCCCGGGCACCCAGCTCTCCGATGCGCTGCCGCAGGTGGAAGGCAAATTCGAACATGGTGGCTGCGAGGCTCTGGTGGATGAGGTACCGGGGCAGGCGGCCCTGGGGGAGGCGAGAGGTTCCAGGAAGGCCGGCCCTCGGCAGGGGCTCCCCCTCAACAACTGGCGCCCGAATGCAGGTGCAGCTCTGGCATGCAGCCGAGGCCGCCCTCTCCCCCACCCCTGGCAGGAAGAACATGCCGTGCCCGGGTCCTGGCACGAGTCACACAAACAGACCCGGGAGGGGGTGGGCTGGCAGCCAGCCACCCTTCCTCAGGCCTCAGGAGTCAGAGGTAAAGAGGGGAGGCAGGGGCCTCAGGGCGAGAAGACCATCTGGACCCTGCCCCCAGTTTCAGAGGAAGAAAGGAGGCGGAGGGCAGGGACGCCGGGAGCAGGGACGCCCAAGGCCACACAGCAAGTCCCCTCCCCTCCGCAGAGCCTGCCTCGCAGCCCCAGCATGCCCACCTTGAGATCTGTGTTAAGGATCCAGATGAAGGTGCAGACTCGGGGGTTACTCGCCGACTTGAGCACGATGAAGCCCCCAGGACCATTCTCTCCCCTGAGGAGAGAGGCACTGGTGGGGGACCTTGAGCCAGGCGAAACCCCAGACCCCCGCTCTGCCCCGACCCACCTTGGACTGGGGTGGAAGCAGGAAGGGAGCTGCTGGTCTGAGCAGGGCCCGAACGGGTGTCCCAGACGCCACAGGATACAGCCCCCCACCCCACCTGCTATGGGGTGCTCGAATCCTCCTCCAACAGCCTGTTGATGTTTGCACAGCCCCCGGGGCAGGGCGCATACCACCTTCCAGCCCTCATCTAGTCTGTCCAGGGACGCCTGTAGTGCGGGGGTGAGCACTTCTCCCCGGGCCCAGCTCTGGGAGCAGTGCAGAGCCGCGGGGCTCCACGAGGGGGCGCCTTCCTGGGAGGCCTCAGGCCTGAGCAATAGGATTCACATCCCATCAGCTCCCCCGCCTCCACAGATAAGAGAGCTGGCGTCAGGAGGGGAAACGAGCTTGCCCATCACCCAGCAAACACCGTGGTGGTGGTGAGACCAGAGCCCTGGGCTGACACACGAAGAGCGGCGCTCTCTGCAGAACCCCAGGACAGAAGGGGAAGTGTGGGGTGTCTGGGAGGAGGCCACGCACAGCACTAGGACTAGAGAGCCGGGGGGCTGGAGGAGGCCGTGGAACAGACAGCAGAGGACTCAGGCCTCTCCCTTTGGGTACCTCCAAGCACTGCGGGGGTGAGGCAAGGCTGCGGGACAGGGAGAAGGGGATGAAAGGTAGGAAGGCGATGCTTCAGAACACAGAGCCTCCTGCTGTGCTGGTCCCCCAGACCAGCCACCTCACGGCTCCCAGCCCCCTTCCCGGCTGGTCCCTACTCATCGCCATCCTCCGTCTCCCCTGGAGCTCCCCCAAGCCTGGTGGTGGTTCCAGATAACCAGGATTAGGGACAGTGGGACTGGGGACACAAAGGCAGCCTCAGCAGGAGAAAGTGCCCGGCTGTGCACACCAGCCCTGCCCCGTTCTCACGGCCACCAGGGGAGGAGCTGGTGCGGACGACCCCAGGCAAGGGTCGGCTCACCTGACGTATTTGTGCGTCGGGGGCTTGGCGCAGTGTGTGGTGGCGATGCCCGAGGACAGGTATCGGTCTCGGCGCCGCTCGATGCGTCGGACATTCACAAAGTCCCTGGAGGGGGATGATTAGATGAGGGGGGTGCCGAGAAGGTCCAAGGGCAGGAGGTCTGCCTGAGGCGGGGGGTCGGGGGTCTCACCTGGGGGAGACTACGCCACCCGCGGCCCCTGAAGACACATCGTAGGAGATGAGGGTGTTGTCTTCTACTCGCTGCAGGATCTGCAGGCATCAGGGCAGAGGTGAGGTGCAGCCACCCCAGGAAAACCCCAGGGAAGGGCCTCGCATCTCAGGAAAGCCCCCAGGTCAGCCGGCTCCCTGCTCAGGCCCCGTAACTAGGAGCCACTTCCATTCACCGGCGCTGGGCCCAGCTCTCTGAGCATTTCGTCCTTCCATCTTCCCGACCCTCTCTTGGAGGCACTATTACCACCATCCCCATTTTACAGATGGGGAAGCTGAGGCCCAGAGTAGTTCAGTGATGTGACCCAGGTCCCCAGGGGGTTCACTATTCACACTGGACCATGCCCTCACCTGCCAGGTGGCTCTGCCCCGAGGGATGCCAGGCCTGGACCGCCGGCTCAGCTCACCTGGCAGGCGGTCACTGTCTTATTCCATAGCACCATCCTCTCAGGCTGTAGGATCACCTCCTGGTACACCAGCTCCGCGGGGCAGGGCAGGAAGGTCTGGGGCAGAGCGGGCAGAGGGCTGGATGGCGCCAGATGTACTTGGGCACACCAACCCTTCCCTGCTGGGTGGAAGAAACCTGCCGGAGGGTCCCCACACCACCGGGCCCTTCCTGGAGTCCCAGGCAGAGCAAGAGGCTGCAGAACACTCTTTCCATCACCCACCTTCAGAATGAAGGTCTTGCCGTGAAAGGGAACTTCGATGGTGTACACAGTGTCCCCATATTCCTATGGCAGGGAGAGAAGGGTAGTGGGGAGGTGAGTGGAGGGCAGGAGAGAGCCGGGGTGGGGGGCAAGAATGGGTGACGGGCAGGGCAGGATTTTAACAGCTCAGGGGAGAAAACTTTAGAAGTTTGGGATATTTGAGCAGCCATTAAAAAACAGTGGTTCTGACAAATGTCCTGCCATGAGGAGAGAAAGGCTTTTGATATCAAGTTAAAAGGCAGGAGCACAGCTGCGGCTACAGCTACGAAGGCCTGTGTTTCCAGGCTGCCGAGGCTGCCAGGGGAACTGGCCAGAGCGAGGGACGGGGATGTTTTCCAAGCTCTCTGCCATCTTTCTAGATAATATTGTTTTGATCATGAAACAAAACACCGGACACAGCACAGAAGCCTGGCTTCCCCTTCAAAGCTGGAGCTGAGGCAGCAGACAGCAGGGGCGGGGCGCCGTGGGGGGGTAGGGGTAGGGGCGCTCCAAATGTCCAATCCAGGCCGCGGGGCTGACCCCAGGGCCCAGCCCCCTCCCCTGAGGCAGAAATAGGGTTCCAACCCGTGCAATCTTTGGGCTTCTTTCTCAGGCCTCAGAAAAGGGAGGGGAATCTCCCTACAAGCCAACTCTCAGGGTCCAGTGGGAGAAAGGTTTCTTACATTATTCTTCTCAAACTTCCAGTTCTCTTCTTGGGCCAAGATCTGGTCCACCACCGCCATGGCCTCCTTCCCTTGAAGGATGTACTCCCGTTCCTGGCCAGGGAGGGGAGGCGGGAAGCGGTCAGCCTGGGAGCTGAAACACCCCTCTGGGTGCTTCTCTAGACACTGCACACGTTTCTTCTGGAGGCCGGATTCAGCCGGATGTCCAGAGGCAGGATCTGGGCTGGTCTCTGGAGCCTTGTGAGCTCCCGGGGACCAGGGGCTGTGGTTGTTACCCTGGGACCCAGGCAGGACGAAGACCACTGGGCCTGACTGACGGTGGGCCAGACACTCAGACGGACACTGACAGGCCTTCAGGCTGCCTGAGGTCTGCCCTCCTCTGGGAAGCCCCTGCCCACCTGGCTGAGCCCAGTGCTGGCTCTTCTCTGGGGTGCCCACCCCAGGTAGGGGCAGGCAGCCAAATACCTGGGCGGAGAAGCTTTTCTTCCCAACAATTTCTTCATCGGATTCATTGTCAGACCCTGCAGAAAAACAAGCACAGGGGACAATGGGAAAAGGTGGGGAGAAGGGGTGGGGAGGTGAGGGGCTGGGGTACAGGTGCAATGGTGTTGGGGGGTAAGATTGCGTGTGTGAGAGGACTGCTCGCTTTCCCCAGGGAGCTGATAGAAGGACAAGAAAGCACAGATCCAGCCATCCTGCTCCTCATAAAGCCCCTCCCTGGAGGTAGTTCCCTCACCCACCAACCCTCACCTGCAAAGGACTCTGGGGGTGAATAGAACTGGCCCTCAGACAGAGCACCGGAGAAAAGCAGGGGTCCTCGGGCGACAGCAGCCTGGGCGGCAAGGTACCCTGGGGGGCAGACATGGGCAGCCATCGTCCCAGACCAAGGACAATCATGCCTTGGCAGCCTAGTGTTCCCCAGCCCCGGCTCTCTTTAAGGCTCTTGGAGGCAGAGTTGGCAAGAGAGCTCAGAACTGGCCTTCATGCCAGAAACTCTCCTCTCTCGGGTGGGGGTGACCCTCGCTGCATCCCCTCATCCCCCAGCACTCACATCGCTCCTCCTCAGCCTCCTGAGGTAGGACTTTGAAGTCAAGGAACCAGGTCTCCAACCAGGCGAGGACAAAGGAGACGATGGGGAGCAAGTAGCCGAAGGCCCCTTTGCTGAGCAGCTGCGGAGGGAGGGGGCTGAGCTCCACAGCCGGGGGTCACCCCCGACCCAGAGCCCCACCCCGTGGCTGTTGACTCTGGCCTACACCCCACTCCTGGTACCAGCTGCTTGGCCCCCTCCTGTGGCACATGCCTCTGAAACAGAGGGGTTAATGAATTCTACAGCAGGATGCACTAAGGTCAGGCTGGAAAAGGAATTTCTGTTCTTAGGGTTTCAGCAGGGCAAGTGGGCAAAGCCAGTAAAGATGACCCCTTAGAAAAAGCCAAGGACAGGAATCCCCCTCACCCAACCCTGACAATAGGGATAGAAACCCAGTCAGAGAAGCAGTCCCTTTTTGGGACGAGCCCATCCCGCAGGCCAGATGCCCACCACACCAGCCAGACCCAGAGCCACTGACCTCAGAGAGGATGACCTTGACGATGAGGAATGCACTGGACACCAGCGTGGTGACCTGCCCAGGGGAGGGAGAGAGACAGAGCGAAGACGGAGCCTGGGGAGTAAGTCCTCCTCCATCCCATTCCATGAACCAGCCCCTCCAGGGCCTGAGAGCTGCCAGGAAAGTGGCATCTTACCGCAATCACCCACCAGTGCCGGAGCCGCAGCACGGCATAGCCCAGGAGCAGTCCGGAGAAGCGGAAGAAGGCCAGGACCTGGTACGGGAGTAGGGGAGCCATCACAGGCAGCCGTGGGCCCTACCCCGGCCGAAGGCTGGCCGCCCCTTCCACCCTGCTCCCCCAGGCTCCCCACATGGTGTGCATGCCCTGGCAGAGCATGGCCGAGGCCAAGTCAGTGCTTCTTTGGGGATTACATGTGACCTCCTTGGACGGGAGTCTTGTCTTCCCCTCCCACTTGGGGCTCTCTGAAAGTGGGGCCTCATTTGGGAACAGGCTTGAATACTGAGGGCTCCCTGATCAGATTAGGATGCATGCTGCAGGAAGAAGAAAATACAACCAAAGAACCCTGTCCCTGCTCCCTCTCTGCCCACAGGATCTCCAAGGCCACTCACAAAGATGTCAAAGAAGGAAGTTTTAAAGCTGTAGTTGATGATCTCCTGCTCCAGGTTCTTCTGGATGCCTGTGTTGGTCTGGAAGAGAAAGACATGGGTAGGACCAAGTCCCCAGGGCTGCCCTTCGTCCTCCCAGAGGGGGCAGGTGGAACCTGGCGGAGAGGCTGTAAATGCTCAGCTACCACCTGATGAGCCCCGAGGCACCAGGCGAGCTCAGCCAGGGGTCTGAGACCCCAGCGCTGAGCTGTTTCTCTAAGGATCCAGGAAGTCCAAACAGGCAGAGTTGAGCCTCCTGACACTCATGAGCACACTGCCTAGAAAGGGGCAAGCCTGGAGGGCCTTGGGAGGTGATGGGCCCTATGCAGGTTCTATGGTGGCAGACAGGGAGCTGGGAGCCAGCCTCTCCCATAACTTCCTCTCCCTCCCACCACTGTGGTGCTCCATCTTCCCAGTCAAGCATCCATCTGGGGTGACGGGGGCCAGGGGTGGGCAGTGGTGTCAGACGGAGCCCCAGGTGGCAAATCGATTGATTAGGTTTGTGCTTAATGGGCAAAATCCATCAAGCTGCTAGAGAGGATGGCATGAGAGTGAGCAGACTGGTCCTTGCCTCTGCCCGTGCCCTGGCCACCCACACATTTTCAATGGGATCCCTGAGAGCCTGGCTGGGGAGTAAGGAGTCCGGATGCCCACTGAGAGCTAGATTGCAGCCTGATGCCTCAGGTGTAATGGGGTGGCAGGCCCACGCCTCTGCAGCTGGGGTGCCAGCCCCCAGAGAAGGGGGGCACAAGGGGACTCCGGGGGACAGAGTTTGGGGGCCCTGAAGGGGAAGACCCTTCACGACTACCTAGATCAGGGCCTCTGATCTCTGGAAGATGACCTGAATCGGGGCGGTGGTGGGGGATGAGGTGTTAAAGATACAGACGTTGAGACGCTTGGTCTGACTCTCGGGGTGAGCCAAGCATCTGGAATGGCTGTAAAGCTCCTGAGTGGTTCTGATGCTCAGGGCAAAAGCCAGCCATCTGGACAGCCCCTCACTGAGTCTCACGCCCTGGTGCATCCCTCACCAAATGCCTCAGCCTCAAGACCACTCTGCACCCCACTGAGTCAAACGCCTTGCTGACATCACAACCCACCCCAGCCTGATCCTCCTCTTACTCCTCAGACTACGCCCTCTTGGGCTCCAGAGTCGCTGTCCACAGAGCTCTCTCTTCCACGGTTTTTCTCTTTGCAGAGAACTCTCCCCTGCCTGCATACCCCCCGGCCAGCCCACCGCACCAGGACTCAGGACAGCCGAGTGCCTGCTCCTGTGTTGCCAGTTCTGGCTGCAAGACCTTGGCGCCGGTCTCACAGCCGGGTCAGGGTCCTTGCATACACTGGGCAACACACAGTCTGTTAGAAAACTAAAAACAGGGACTTGCCTGGTGGTCCACCTGGTGGAGCCACCAGGGGAGCCCAGGGCGATCGTCCAAAGAAAGGTCTAAGACCTCAGAAACTCTTCAATGACCCTGGACCTCGCTACTCCTCAGCTCTCTCATCAGCAAGATGGGCCTTGAGGACCAGTGGCTAAGACTCTGTGCTCCTAATGCAGGGGGCCTGGGTTCAATCCCTGGCCAAGGAACTAGATCCCATGTGCCACAACTAAGACCCAGTCAAATAAGTGCTGTGTGCTCAATCGTGTCCAACGCTTTGCAACCCCATGGACTGTAGCCCACCAGGCTCCTCTGTCCATGGAATTCTCCAGGCAAGCATACTGGAGTGGGTTGCCATTTCCTTCTCCAAGTAAGTAAATAATAAATCAAACTAAGTAAATAAATATTTTTAAAAAACACTAAAAATATATATGTTTCAAAGTATGAAAATGGCAAAATTGAAAAAATAATAAAAAATTTAATTGTCTACCAAGAGAAACTGATGTTAATTCTATGAACTGTTAAATTCAGCGTTCTGAAACTTTTCATCAAATTTTAAAATAATTTGGAGGTTAGATTTTCTCACTCCATGAGAATTTTCAAGTCTGCATGATGACTGCTGAGCTATTACAGCCAGTATAGCCATATAGTTTCCAAAGTAAAATTGCCAAACATTTTTTTCAGCTCTTTTCTGTCAAGAAAATATTATACATACATTTAATGAAGGATGTGGGTGAATTTTAGTGCCTTATAGTGCCTGCTTTGATGCTAGAAAGTGAAAGTGTTAGTTGTTCAGTTGTGTCCGATTCTTTGTGACCCCACGGACCCGCTAGGCTCCTCTGTCCATGGGATCCTCCAAGCAAGAATACTGGAGTGTGTTGCCATTTCATTCTTCAGGGGATCTTCCCAACCCAGGGATCAAACGTGGGTCTCCTCACGGCAGACAGATCCTTTACCGCCTGAGCCACCAGGGGAGCCCAAGGGGACCGTCCAAAGGAAGAAGGTCTAAGACCTCAGAAACTCTTCAATGACCCTGGACCTCGCTGAGCCTCAGCTCTCTCATCAGTAAGACGGTCCTTAAACTCCCCCATGGCTGTGGCCCCTTCTCGCTGAGGCTGCCAGCTCCCCTCTGTGCACAAAGGAGCATCACCCTCAGAGCCCTGCCTTGCCGTCCAGCTCAGCATGCCCAGAATCAAACTCACCCCTAAACCAGCTCCTTCTCTAAGCTCCTCCTTTGTAACAACAGTCACTGTTTTCCTGATCCCTGAGCTTGAGACGGAGGTTTGCGACATTGTACAGGAGGCAGGGATCAAGACCATCCCCAAGAAAAAGAAATGCAAAAATGCAAAATGGCTGTCTGAGGAGGCCTTACAAATAGCTGAGAAAAGAAAAGATGCAAAAGGCAAAGGAGAAGAGGAAAGATATACCCATTTGAATGCAGAGTTCCAAAGAGTAGCAAGGAGAGATAAGAAAGCCCTACTCAAAAAAAAAAAAAAAAGAGAAAGAATGAAAACAAAGCCCTCCTCAATGATCAATGCAAAGAAATAGAGGAAAACAATAGAGTGGGAAAGATTAGAGATCTCTTCAAGAAAACTACAGATACCAAGGAAACATTTCATGCAAAGATAGGTACAGTAAAAGACAGAAACAGTATGGACCTAACAGAAGCAGATGATATTAAGAGGTGGCAAGAATACACAGAACTATACAAATAAGATCTTCACGACCCAGATAAACATGATGGTGTGATTACTCACCTAGAGCCAGACATCCTGGAATGCAAAGTCAAGTGGGCCTTAGGAAGCATCACTATGAACAAAGCTAGTCGAGGTGATGGGATTCCAGTTGAGCCATTTCAAATCCTAAAAGATGATGCTGTGAAAGTGCTTGCTGCACTCAATATGTCAGCAAATTTGGAAAACTCAGCAGTGGCCACAGGACTGGAAAAGGTCAGTTTTTATTCCAATCCCAAAGAAAAGCAATGCCAAAGAATGCTCAAACTACCACACAATTGCACTCATCTCACACGCTAGCAAAGTAATGCTCAAAATTCTCCAAGCTAGGCTTTAACAGTATGTGAACTATAAACTTCCAGATGCTCAACCTGGATTTAGAAAAGGCAGAGGAACCAGAGATCAAATTGCCAACATCTGTTGGCATCCATCAAAAAAGCGAGAGTTCCAGAAAAACATCTACTTCTGCTTTACTGACTATGCCAAAGCCTTTGACTGTGTGGGTCGCAATAAACTGTGCAAAATTCTTAAAGAAATGGGAATACCAGACCACCTTACCTGCCTCCTGAGAAATCTGTATGCAAGTCAAGAAGCAACAGTTAGAACCGGACATGGAACAACAGACTAGTTCCAAATAGGGAAAGGAGTATGTCAAGGCTGTATACTGTCACCCTGCTTATTTAACTTATATGCAGAGTGCATCATGAGAAATGCTGGGCTGGATGAAGCACAAGTTAGAATCAAGATTGCTGGGAGAAATATCAATAACCTCAGATATGCATTTGACACCACCCTTATGGTAGAAAGCAAAGAAGAACTAAAGAGCCTCTTGATGAAAGTGAAAAAGAGAGTGAAAAAGTTGGCTTAAAACTCAACATTCAGAAAACTAAGATCACGGCATCTGGTCTCATCATTTCATGGCAAATAGACGGGGAAACATCGGAAACAGTGAGAGACTTTATCTTTTTGAGCTTCAAAATCACTGCAGATGGTGACTGCTGCCATGAAACTAAAAGACGCTTGCTCATTGGAATTAAAGCTATGATCAACCTAGACAGCATATTAAAAAGCAGAGACATTACTTTGTCGACAAAGGTCCATCTAGTCAAGGCTATGGTGTTTCCAGTGGTCATGTATGGATGTGAGAGTTGGACTATAAAGAAATCTGAGCACCGAAAAATTGATGCTTTTGAACTGTGGTATTGGAGAAGACTCTCGAGAGACCCTAAGATTTCAAGGAGATCCAACCAGTCCATCCTAAAGGAAATCAGTCCTGAATACTCATTGGAAGGACTGATGCTGAAGCTGAAACTCCAGTACTTTGGCCACCTGATGCGAAGAACTGACTCATTGGAAAAGACCCTGATACTGGGAAAGACTGAAGGCAGGAGGAGAAGGGGATGACAGAGGATGAGATGGTTGGATGGCATAACTGACTTGATGGACATGCGTTTGAGTAAGCTCTGGGAGTTGGAGATGGACAGGGAAGCCTGGCGTGCTGCAGTCCATGGGGTCGCAAAGAGTCGGACACGACTGAGTGACTGACTGATTGAGCTTGAGACCTGGGGGAAGGACACCTGCCATCCGGAACTCTGACCCACTTTGGACAAGGAGAACAAGGGGAGGCCTGGAGAGGCTGAGTCCCTTGCTGAGGTCACACAGTTCCTATGGAGCAGAAGCTGGGACGGGGGACCAAGCCCAGGATGCCCTGGTTCCACACTCCTACCTCTACATCAGGTCCTGCTCTGCTCTGTCAGCACCCGGAGATGAGGCCCCACCGCCAGCTGGCCAACCACTGCATGGTGGGGGTGGGGGGCAGACTCCACCCTGACAGGCAGCTCTGTCTCCAGACTGTTAGGTAGAATCCCACCAAAATCAAGAGGCCAAAACTGGGGACACTGGAAGAAAGCCCGAGATGGGGAAGGAAAGCTGGGCGTCACTGAGAGTCTTTACAGATTGCCACCCACTGTTCCCTCTGCTTTCGGCACAGCGCCTGGGACACAGCAGGGACTCAGAAATATTTGCTGAATGAATGAATGAATGAACTAAGCCAGAGAGCAATGTAGAGCAGAAAGAAGACAAAGGTCCTAATAGCTCCACCAGAGCCCTCTGGGATCCCGTCTCCTTTCTCAAGAGTGTCCACTAGGGGCCAGTGTGGCGCAGAGGTCAAGCGCATGAGTTCTGGGGCGCAGGTCTGGGTTCAAACCCTGCCTTCTTCATAACACTTGCTGAGAGACCTCGGATAAGCAACTTAACGTCTCTGTGTTTCTCTCTCTGGAAGACGGGAACAGCTATTCTGGTCTCACTCTTTATTTCACCTGGAAATCAACACGCCCCCAGAGGCCACCCTCCGAGGCCCAGGCAACACCGCTCCCCCAACCGGACCTGTGCCCCCAGCCTCGGCCCCACTCACGTTCAGCTCAATGATCCAGAGCAGAGAGATGAAGAGCAGGTCGAAGGTGACGAAGAGACAGAAGGTGCGGCGGACGTCGGAAATGGCCCGGCGCTTCTCCGGCAGCGGCGGTGGAAGGAGGTGCGAGGAGAGGCTCTGGCTGTGGGACAGCGATGAGCCCAGGGAGGCCACGGCCGGCAGGCTGCGCTCCAGGTCGCGGGCCAGCAGGTCCCCGGACAGCTTGCTCATCCTGGCGGGCCGCCACCTCCAGCCGGGGTGGGCTGGGCCTCAGCAGCAGGGCTGCGGGGAGGCAGGGTGGCTGGTCAGGTCCTGGGGTCAGGGTCCAGGAGCACCCGGGAACCTCCTTCGTCCCTTCGAACGCAGCCCCAGACCCCTATTTGTTGCCCCCCACCCTCGGCCTAACCCTGTGGCCCAGGGCCCTTTCTGCCTCATTTCCCTCTGCGGCCTGACTTGCAGGCTGGAGGGGTCTGAGCATCCTTCTCCCTCGGTCCTGCTTCTTCACCCCGCCCCCACCCCAGGCAAAGTCCTGCAGCCCCTTGGTCACCCTTAGGGGCCTCCTGGGTCCTCCCTGACGTCTGGGGCCACAGCCAGCTCCTGCCAAGCCCTGCCCTGTAGTTCAGCCTCTGGGCCTGTCAACAGCCTCTGGGCCTGTCCCCACCCCCAAGAGAAGTCAGCCCCAAGCTCTGTTCTTTGTTTTCCAAGCACAAAGCCACATTCCCTCCCAGCAGCCAGCCCTACCCTCCCACCCCCTGATCCATGGCAACTGGGAGGGACTTCCTAGAGCAGTGTCTCCAGGCAGGCCAGCCTTGGAGGGATGGTGGGATGACATCTAGGTCCCTTCTCTCCACCACCCCCACCTCAGGCCCAACCAGCTCTCTCCCAGCAGCTCCTGCTCCTAATGGGTGGGCGCGTCTCCAGGCTTTCTCTTCCCTCACCCACAGCAACCACTTCTATGCAACAGCCAGAGAAAGCTTTTCAGAACATGAATCAGATCCTGCCATTCCCTGTTCACAACCCTCCAAGGGCTCCCCGCTGGCGTGAGGATAATACACCATCCTCGTGGTGGCCCTCGCAGGACGGGGCTCTGCCTGGTTCCTCTTAGCGCTCCTCTCACAAGGTGGGGTCCCGTCTCACTATGACGGCCACCCTGGCCTTCTAGGTCCCTTCAAGCGGCAGCCTGGTCCTGCCTCGGGGGCCTTACACCCAGGTCTCCCCAGTCCTTTCAACTGGCAGCTCCAATGCCCTCTCCTCAGAGCCTCACACCCTCCTTCCCCAGTCCCAGTGAATTTACCGGGCTTCACCTTCTCCAGTAATCTCACTGCGTTCCAAGTCCACCCAGGGCAGAATGGTTCCTCCTATTCTTCACACAGGACAGCCGAGGCTCCAGGAGGTGAATGAATGTGACCATGAGGTTGAAATCCTCATAAACCCCAGAGACAAAGTGGGTGGTGGAGCACTCCCGCCCTGCTGAGCAGCCCCCAGGCCTATGGTCCTTGCTCTACCAATCTGCTGGCAGGGGTCCTCAGAGGCCCTGTCCCCCAGGCAGGAGAAGGGAAGGTTTAGTCTAGAACCAGAGCCGCGCTGAGGCATCATGATGGGGCCTGAGTCTCTGGGACCCCATGAAGAGTCTCCCTGAGTCTTCTCACATGCAGAACCAGGGGGCAGGTCTGGGGGCCACTGGAAGGGGAGTCCTGGATCTTTGTGCTTGATCCTGGGAAGGCCAAGATCTAACCGGTCCTCCCACCACAGCCGTCCGGCCCCTCCACACATTTGCTGTCTGCTTTCTTCCATGCTCCCCAACTACTAAGTTGAAAACAAGCCCCCATTCTGTAGCCAGCAGGGTTTCTGAGCAAGCCGGTTCACCCACACCTCTACCTCTGTGCCAACCCAACAGTCATGACTGTTCTCAGCAGAAGCACCAGCCTTTACTACTCTTTAGGGATGCCCATGCTAAGCTCATCTGGAGGACACTGAAGGAAAGCTGGACCAGCTCTGGAAGGCGGCGGCCAGCAGAGGGGAGTGACAGGCTGCTGGCAACGGGACCTCCCAACATCTATCAGCTGGATCGAGTGTCAGACCCCACGCTCGGCGCATCCTTCACCGTGACACAGCCGCAGCCCTAGGGCGGGTGACATTTCCTGATCTCTAATATCCCGCTTGTCTTCGGCCAGACCTGTCTTCATCTCTCCCCTCTCCTGTCTCTTTCACAAGCTACCTCTTCCCCATTCTTTGGAAGTGTCTCTGTACCCCCTCGCACGTCTGTCTTTATTCCGCCCCCTCTCTGGGTCTCCCTCTCCACCTCTCTCCCATCTGCGAGTGTCTCTCCACCCCCATCAGATTAGTCTCTCTCCGGTTTCTCTTATGTGTCTCTCTCTCTCCTCCCCCCTACCTGCCTCCACCTTCTCCCTCTCCCGTCTCACTGCAGGGCGCTGTGGCTTCCCCACTCCCAGTCTGCTCCCGGGTCTGTCTAGTCTTTCCCCCTGGCCTCCTCCCTCCCTCTCTGGGGACAGGACTTGGGTGGCAGCAGCTTGGGTGTGAGACACACTTGGAGTGGCAACAGCAGTGACACTCACACACCCAGACGTCCACATGGAAGCGAGAGACGCAGATGGGGGCTGAGACCAGAGGTGCTGGGGGAGCTGAGAGAGCTGCCGACGCGGGGGGCTGAGGGGGCCGGGCACAGGGGGCTCTGAAGCGGAGGTGGGGGCTTCCGGCCAACAGTCGGAGAGACCAGGGCTCCGCGTCACCCTCCTCCATGAAAGAAACTCAGCATCCAAATAAGCAAGAGCTGGAAGAGGTGAATGAGTTCGGGGGCGTCCATTAGCCCTGAATAACTTTGGGCAAATCCTTCTTAGCAAACTTCCATTTCCCTGTCTGGGAGAAAGGTCCATTCTTTTAAAAAATGTATTTATTTTTTAATTGAAGGATAATTGCTTTACAGAATTTTGCTGTTTTCTGGCAAACATCAACATGAATCAGCCACAGATATACATATGTCCCCTCCCTCTTGAACTCCAGGAAAAAGGTCCATTTAAAAAAAAAAACCCTTTTAAGTAAGAGTAACATCAACCAAAAGACCTTACCTAGAATCTCAATATATAAAACAGATATATTTGCAGGGCAGCAAAGGAGATGCAAACATAGGGAATAGACTCATGGTCACAGCAAGGGAGGAAGAGGGTGGCATGACTTGAGAAAGTAGTATTGAAACGTATACGTGACTATATGTAAAATGGATAGCCAGTGGGAATTTGCTGCATGATGCAGGGAGCAGAAAGCTGGTGCTCTGTGACATCCTAGAGGGGTGGGATGTGGAGGGGGTGGGAGGGAGGTTTAAGAGGGAGGGGACATGTTATACTTCTGGCTCATAGTGACATATAGCAGGAACCATCAAAATATTGTAAAGTAATTATCCTCCAATTAAAAATAAAATGATTTTTTAATTTAAAAAAATGTTGATGTTTGGCAGAAACCAACACGATTCTGTAAAGCAATTATCCCTCAATTAAAAAATAAATTAATTGAAAAAAAGAGAACAGGTAAAAACTTGGAATTCCCTGATGGTTCAGGGGTTAAGACCCCACACCTTCACTGCCAAGGGTGCACGTTCAGTCCCTGGTCGGGGAACTAAGATGCCACAAGCTTCGCAGTGCAGACAGTAAATAAATGAAATGAATAAAAACAGGACTGTATAGGTCCTGCCATAGGATGTGGCCAAAGATAGCCCTACCAGTCAGCCTTCCCTCAAACTCCATCTGAAGACACCCTGAGGCACATCCATGGGTGTGGTTTGAAAAACTCACTCAGATGACATCAGAAAGTTTTGAGTTCCCTGAGACCACCTGCCAGCTACAGATATGAAAACTACCTTGGCCTAGAACTGCTCTCAACAGTCCCCGGAACATTGGCGGGGAGGATGGAGGGAGGCGGCTGCTGGCAGAGCAGGCTGGAGGCAGTAACAAGCGTCAGGAGGCTGGAGGTGGCAGGGCTGCCACCCGGCCTCCTGGGAGCAGCGCCCCCCTGCCAAGCCCACCGCCTGCTGTCACCAGCCGCTCCCCAGCACCTTCAGAGGTGTCAGGAGGGGAGCAGCACGTGTGGTGTGAAGAAGTCGGCCTGGGCTGGCTGCAAACTTGACACTGGATGTGCCTGTGGAAGCTCAGCTGCTGAGGCTTGGACAGAGTGGGGTGGTGGTGGCTGGGGGGGAACTGGTGGTTTTTTTCATCCTGGGTCAGAAGGGTAAGAGGGGTCGGGAGAAGAAGGCCAGCCAGGTCTCTGGGCATGGGGAAAGCTCTGAGGAGGCCCCTCATGCCCCCTCCCAGGCCTTCTCTGAATGGCCCTAGGAAATGCTAGCCCGGGCGCAGCAGTAGCTTTTGGGTGGGTCCCCACTGAGCTGATGACAGCAGGCAGCTGGTACCTCTGAGGCCAGGGTTTGAGTCCCGGTCCGCCCTCACCAGTCTTGCAATTGGGGCAAACAGAACATTCTGAGAATTGGCTTCTTCAGCTGCATTAAATAAGGGGAATAATAATTTACTCAGTGCCACAGAACTGTCCACTTAAAAGTGGCTACAATGGTAAATGTTATGCTGTGTATGCTTTATCACAATAAAAAAGGCAGCATCTCCCATCTGTGATTGCTACCAATGACTGCGGCCCCATGGGTGTTTATGGATGCGTCAGGGGAAGGATGGCTGGTGTTTAGCCTGTGCAGGTGGAGATGGAGCAAGCAGGTGGGCAAGGCCGTTCAGGTGAGAGGTGTTCAGGTGAGAGGTGTTCAGGTGAGAGGTGTGGGGTGTGGGGGAGTGGGGGCTTACACACAACAGTGACATGGAATAAACTGCCCCCAAAGGCCTGACTTCAAATCTGAGCTCCACAATTCACCCGCCGGGTGACCCAGAGCAAGCTGTCCAAGGCTTCAGCCCAGGTTTCCCCTTTGTGCGCACTATGGGCCACGTTACAGAGGCTCCAGGCAAGCGTGCACTTCTGGGGAGGGGCAGGGCAGGAGGTGGGGGTGTCGGGGCTCCCTGCACAGGCTCTGGGGGGAAGCCCAGGCTGATCTCTGATGCTACCCTTCCCACTGGTGCCTGCCCCCGCCCCCCAGCCTCCCCAAGGGCCCGATTTCCAGTTCTTAGGTGGCTGGGGCACAGACAGGGCCCTTCCCAGGCCTCAGTGACACCCTGGGCTGGAAGCTCCAAGCAGCTCTCTGCCCGTCTCTGCCTGACATTTTCTGACCAAAGCAAGTCTGCAACACGCCTATGTCTGTCACTCACTCGGCAAGTCTC